AAATAATTTCTTGTATAATTTGCTGTCAGAAAAACGAATGACCTTCAATCTAGGTCAACTGACAACTTCTAGAATTATCTACAAGGGCTTACCCCAAGGTTCATGTTTAAGTATCTTACTTTATAATTTCTATGTCAAAGATATTGATAACTGCTTAGATAATCGATGCTCGCTTAGACAGCTTGCCGACGATGCCGTGGTTTCCCTGAGAGGTCCACGTGCGGAAATCTTGCGAAGACCATTGCAAAATTCCCTAGATAATCTGTCCTTTTGGGCCAGAAAATTGGGGATCGAGTTTTCACCGCAAAAATTGAATTAGTAGTGTTTACAAGGAAGCGGTTTCCAGCCCAATTGCGTCTAAATATTTTGGGCAGAGGCATTACCCAATATTTGACCTTCAAATTCCTTGGAGTCTGGTTTGATTAAAAATGCTTTTGGGGTTACGTATTTGGAACAAAAGTGTCAGCAAAGGATCAACTTTCTACGATCAATTTCCGACACATGGTGGGGTGCTCACCCGAAAGACCTCATTAAACTATATAAAACGACTATTCTTTCAGTTCTTGAGTATGTCTTTTTTGCTTCCTCTCGGCAAGAAAAAGCCACCTAATCAAATTGGAACGTATTTAATATCGTTGTTTACATATTGGCCTTGGCTGTATGCATTCAACACACTATATGAGCCTAGAAGCTCTAGCGGGCGTAAAGCCCCTGCAGAACCGTTTCTGGGAGCTCTCATTAAGAGTATTGATCAAATGTAGTGTCAGTAACAACATTGTGATTGAAAACTTCGAAGCAATGCTCGAATTGAGCCCCCAGACTAGATTCGTGCGAATCTACCTTAATTATTATGTCATCGGATATTAGCCTTCCATGCTATAACCCCCCTCGTGTATGCTTTACTAATTACAGTTGACTATGATCCCTCCATAGATCTTCGACCTATATCAATTCCCCGTATTTTTGCTGAAAAGTACGAACTAGTCAATTGCAATAGAAAATTTTTCACTGATGAATCACGCATTGATGGATCCACTGGCTTCGGCGTCTTCAATGAATACTCAACCGCCTCTCGGAAACTTCAGGAGCCTTGTTCTATTTATGTTGCTGAGCTGGCAGCAATCAACTTCGCATTGGGGATGATTTTCAACATGCCCGCAGACCATTACTTCATCTTCTCGGATAGTCTCAGTTCGATCGAGGCTATTCGGTCGATGAAATCAAGGTAGGCACTCATCTTATTTCCTTTCAAAGGTAAGGGAGCAGATGAGTGTGCTGATCGAAAGATCATATATGATTACCTTTGTTTGGGTCCCCTCACATTGCTCAATCCCAGGCAATGAGAAGGCAGACTCTCTCGCAAAGGTGGGCGCACAACAGGACTTCAGAAACCTGTTTCCTACCTAGCTCCTTCCAATCGAAATTGTTACTCATTAACCTCGAGCCCGCCACGAGTACCCAATACTAACCTAGAACTGCTTCTGTTTAAATAGTAAATCCAAACATTACTGATTTTTGGCTCCGTAAAGTGTCACACACGACTGAAACTAATAAACAAACTAGTTAAATTAAACCATTGCAAAGTGGGGAAAAATCGATCCAAAATTCCACTTCATTAGACGGCGCACGGTAGGAGTCCTGCAGCCTATATTTTGTGAAAAAAAATAGGAGAATCGGTTGGAGATGGTCCCGTTTAGGGTTGACTTTGGAAAGTGGTATGTTTTACCCGATTTACCTTTAATGTTGGAAGAAAAATATAATTATCATCCAGAAACTGAACTTGGTGTGCTTAGATTGAGCCAATTTTTATCCTTTGAAAAGAGCTGGGGAGTTGAATGGAGCTAGTTTTACTTTTAAGAGACGTCAAGCAGTGATCCATTTTACCCGATTTCCCCGGAAGGACCTAAATCTGTGTTTTATTATTGAGCAAATCTTCTAATGATTTTATTAGCTTCTATTTGTAGAGCAAACATATCCCTTTAGATTGTGCTACGAAATGTTTGAGTTTGGACAAAATGTTCTGATATTTTCCGATAAGATAATATTGGGATAATATAATCACAGCATTCTCCAGACATTTTTACATAACTACAGAGCAAATGAGCGTTATATTGATGACGCCAATCTATAAAACTATAATAAATATAGTTGAAGATGCTAATTTCAAATAACAGACTGTAGTGGTAATTTTTATACGATAGATGGAGTAGATGAAAGCATAGAGTTGATAGTTCCGTTAGAGTACGGCAGTGTGAAGATTGTCGGTTTTCATCTCTTTTTGCCAGTGGTGGGGGGGGGGGGGACACCCCTCACCATCCCTCTCCAAAGGGGGAGTTTGGTAAAGAGAGATGAAAAAACCGATTTGTACCTTCCTTAAAAGTTGTCCTAGTTCGCTATTCTAATATCTATATACAATCTTCACACTGCCGTACTCTAACGGAACTATCAACTCTATGCTTTCATCTACTCCATCTATCGTATAAAAATAACCACTACAGTCTGTTATTTGAAATTAGCATCTTCAACTATGTAAATCGTTGACTTCACGCAGAAGTAATACTAAAAACATATAGTCAAAGTATAATAAATAGTTTGTTCAAGTTTGAGCGGAATATTGGTCCATCTCAGCAACTGGTCAATTCCCCGGGAGTACTCGGAACATGTCTGGATATGGCAAATGTGTTCCTGAGCACTCTATAAGTAACCATTGAACTAGTTATAGAATTCTCATGTGGGTTTCTATCCAAGGCAGAAACAGGCCACTTACCCGGGGGTACCCGAAACATGTCCGGATGTGGTCTTGAATCCTCAATATCATCATTGCTTTTTTTTCGATTTCACATGTGCGTTGAGGTGTCGCATAATGTGTTTGGCACGTTTCTGTTCGCTTCTAGTTTTAAGACTCATATTCACCGAAACGTGTTCCAACCTTATCTCCGGAACCAGTTGACCGATTCTAATAATATTCAATTGCGTATCTTTCATTTAGCGTTTGTTGCTTCCAATTTGGTTTTCGGGTTGGACTCTTTCTCGACTTCCCTGGGCATACACAGAAACAATTTTGAATTGCTCATACACATTTATAAAATATTGCTGATTTATGCGATATTGCACTTCTGCGCGTGTGTGCGCGCTATATATCGCAGAAATTCATAGCAAATTAGCATAGAAAACTCTCAATTGATAACTGTGGAAGTACTTTAAAGAACACTAAGTTGCGAGCAGGCGAAAACTCGTAAAGGAGCGTCAAAGTAAGGATGCAGTAAATATACCGGACTCTGTGGGGCCTCCCTTAGCTCAGTCGATAAAGTCGCAGTTATAAAGCAAGACCCTCCTGGAGGCGGCTGGGTTCGATTCCCGGAACGGTCTTGAAATTTTTCAAGTTTGAGCAGACATAGAAAGTTCTCAATCTACAGATGAGGACAGGCGTAAAGTTTCGGTTAGGCCATAACATAATAGCCAGAAAAGAAGAAAATATACCGATTATAAAAAATACATTGTAATGTATCAGTCATCGGATTACTTTTGAAACCTAATCATGCAAACGCGAATATTTGTGCGTAACGCTAATCTTCAGTGAGTGATATGTGACTGAGTGAGCAGTGAGAAGTGAGTTAGCATATTAATGCATCTAATTTTCCCGAGCAACGCCGGGGGTATTCAACTAGTAACTTATAATGAAATTTAAGCTAGTTAATTTGATGAATTATGTCAAATTCCAACTATTCACTGTCCCTAGAAGTTTATCTACGGATGGTTTTGTGCAAATGTTCTGATTCTCCAGAATGTTGCATATTTAGCAGGAGATAAAGAGATTACTTCATGTCCTCAAAAATGTATTACAATTCATTCATGCTAAATGTGAGGAATAGTGCCAGATATAACTCTTAATAAACTGAGCATGAGAGTAATGGAAGATGTACATGCAAAAACTGCCGTATTTTATGATTCGAATACTTCGAGTTATTTGACTTCATAACAATTTTCCGAGTTGAAGTATCCAAAACGAATCACCGATTCGTGCCCTACCTGAAACCAGCATTGATAAGTCTAACTCAAACAACTATTTTAATCCCAAATTTCCTGCGACGATTACAGTTGGAGAAAGGAGGATTTTCTCACTGTGCACTGCTTTGCTATAGCAATTCAAATGGTATTCTTCTGTGTACAATTTGCCACCCATATCCGACGATTTAAATCCTAAATCATCGATGAAATATGAGGGGCAAAATTCAATAAAATTTTCATAGGACTTGAAATTAGATTACGCTCAAGAATTGATGACAACCGAACCGAATAGATATAGGTACCTATATCCACTCCATGAAACGCGCAGAGAGGGAAATAATTCGGAGGAAAATACTCTTTCAACCAGTCGGAAAAGCCAGCAATTTAGCATATGTGCACATCCATGCGGGGGGTCAATTTTGCTGTGGGTGTTGGAAATTTTATTTATTCAATCTTTCTGCGGTTAGCTTCTACCGACGCTCGCTGGCTGGTGGGAGTTAGTAGGGAAACCCTTTTTCTTTCGATTTGATTTTACTGCGTGTGCAATGATTCCTTGAAAACGCAGGCCTGAGCCTTCCGAAATTTATTACCCTTCTCCGGAGCAGAGGATGGAAACGGTTCGGGGGTGGTGATGGTGGAAGAAGGCAAAATTGGCGTAAAATTCGAGTGGTGTTTAGATGAATAAACATAAATTCTCGCTAATAAATTTATCGAATTCGAATATTGAATGTTTACTTTTGCAATCTGGCTTTTACGGGTACGGGTTGTAGACATACGCACGTGAAAATGTACATACGTTCGAGGGAGGGTGTTTCGGTGTTAGACCAACTAGGGGGGTGAATGTTGATGTTGTTTGAAAATTTACGATTAACAAATTACCGATTGCAAATCGAATTAGGCTGATTATTTAAATACTTAATGAACTGATTTGGAGCGGGTTGGATTTGAGTGTGCCTTTTTTTGAATTTTCAACTTTGATTGGACCAGCTTACCTTTGTGCAGTTGATTTTCATGCTTCCGACATTTGGCGCGTCGATTTTGAAACCAGACCTGGAAAAAATAGAACGAACGATATATTTGTAGCTCTTTTATTGGTATGTATAGAGAGTGCTAGAGAGGAATTGACTCTTGATTTATCTAACGGTTAGTCTCATCGACGAAAATCTTCTAATTAATTTTCTTTTCTGGAACAACCAACCAACCAAACAACCAAATGAGCGAAACATTTTTGAATGTAGCGATGTCTTGTAACAATGCTTTTAAATCTCAATTTAATGTACCGCCATACAAGGTCAATAGAATAGGAGGGAATAAATTCACTATTTGGTCATATATAAGGATCCAGATTTCTGATACAACCATCATCTATTTAACGTGATTAATGTGTTAGGCACACTTTTTTTTCAAGGTTTCTGTAGGTTTACGAGAGAGGCAACAATTTTACAATAACGTTATTTGGAAACATAGAATCAGAGGTGCTCATTTGTTAAGTTGTCAAAATATGTACATGGCGAATGAGTACGACCCAAATTTGAGTTTAGTTCACTCATAATCGCCAAAAGTTCAGGAACTCTGCGATGATTAAATTTGCCTCATGGTTTCCTGTGGAACATCTCGAAAATCTGCCGGAATAATGAGTAAATTTGACGAAAATTTTACTCAGTCTAGTAGTAGCACCAATAGACTGAGTGAATCCAATCTTTACTTTACTCCTCAGTGTCTGTTTTTATCATTTACCATCACACGCAAGGAGTAGCGCTTCAACCCAGTGTGGATGAATTGCGTTCGTTTTGAAAATCTTCGCTGTCACGTACGAGCAAAACGAACAAATGTCATTATACATCAACGAATACGCGTTTGTTGATATTCACCACTGCTTGATTATCCAACCCAAAATATTCAATATCAGAAGCGATCCTCAAAAGCAAAATAATCAAATTAATTTTGGGCAAAATGATTATTTTGAATATTGTCGACTCTAGAGCCTAAAACCTCGATATTATCAACAATTCAGTATGAGGCAATAATTTTCTATCAATCTGTGTGTAAAAACCAACACACCACGTTCTACAGCTCTATATTTGTGTACTATGAACATAATCATTTTACATTTGATCCTCAAAATCATCCCCATCAAGATGAAGATGAATATTGATATTGACAACAACACAGGCGATAATAAACATCCAGCCACGAATGAACAAAAACAAATGTTGACTTCCATACTCAGAGGTTGCCTTGATCAAGAGAATGTGTTCATGTCAAAATTCAAATTCATACAGGTTTTCGCTGGCGCTGATTTCATCTGTTTTCCGCATATTTTTTAACTGTACCAAATCAAAAAAATATTAGTTTTCGCGTATGGATAAGTGTAAATTAAGATCTATCACGTTTTAAGAAGTTTGTTTAGTGATATTGTAATTAACGTGAAAAATCTGGGACAAGAATTTGTTTCGAGTAGCTGTGTTGCTGTGGTGTCGCGTTGGTCGGTTTTTCTTTTCGCTTGCTTTTTGGTGCTTTGCCTCCCTCCCAAGAAGAGTTTTACCGTTTTACCGGGTTTTTTTTTTTTCTTTTCTTGGTGCTGGCGTTCTGCCTTCCGTAGGATGCACGCAAATGAGGTGTCAGGCAAATATTCGGTGCAAATGAAAAACTTCGCGTGTGATTCAAAATGTCGTGTTCGGTTGTAAAAACAACGCGGAAGATTTTTTCGATTAACGCGAGTGAACAAACCGGTGCTTTTTCGGAGGCAGAATTTGGTGAGATCCATCTGATTTATAATCAATCATAAATGCATAGTTCCATATATTACTAAATACGCGCCAGATTTCGGAACATCACATGTCGAAATCTGGAAGTGTGTTTGCAGTACCATTATTCATATGATAACGGTAGTGTTAACATGCGGGGCTTATTGTATGTGAAAGTAACCTCTGACTGGACGTGAATTACCAGGCATTCTGAAATGGGTTGCTGAATCTGCAGTAGAGCTATCGCTTTCTAACTCCCGGACTAAACTTGCTTTAAATTATTACACCAAGGATTGTTGTAAGCAAATTTCTTCCATAATACCACTGCCGGCCAGTGGGGGTTAGATTGAACACGCACATACACACACACATACATACACACACACATACATACACACACACACACACACACACACACACACACACACACACACACACACACACACACACACACACACACACACACACACACACACACACACACACACACACACACACACACACACACACACACACACACACACACACACACACACACACACACACACACACACACACACACACACACACACACACACACTAATTCAAATTCATACAGGTATTCTTGGTAATTTTTAAGAGTCCAACACGAAAATTTCTCAGAAGATGCATTTTTCATAAGTTGTTTTTTTTTAAAACTAGTCCGTTTATTTACAAGGCTCAGTCGTGTGTGACACTTTGCGGAGCCAAAAATCACAAATTTTTTAATTTAAATTTTAAACAGCAGTAGTTCTAGGTTAGTATTTGGTACCAATTAATCGTGGCGGGCTCGAGATTAATGGGTAAAAATTTCGATTGCTAGGAGCTAGGTAGGAAACTGGTTTCTGAAGCCTCCTTCAGATACTACTCTCGGACGGTTGACCAAATCCTGGCTGGGCAGGGGCAAGTTGCACAGAAACAGAAGTATAATAAGACTGGGACACAATGCCTTGGAAAGGAGGGGATGGTCACATCAAACTCTAACATCAGACAAACAAAGGAATTCGTAGATCGCCTGCATGTAGGGAAGATCACGGGTTCCCAATACATCTCTTACTTCACGGAAGGGTTGTCTACCTCGGGCCACTAGAGTATCCAACGGTCGTGCTCTGGAGGCGTCATTACCCGGGCAATACCAATCTGCGCGATCGATGTCATCATAACCGGTTCTACACCTACATATATTACTGTCAACGAGCTTTATTCTGTAGAGATGTGCGTCTAGCGAGTAGGGGTTGGACATAAGTCTTGACATCACGCAAATGAATCCCCGACTTACATCCAGACCTTTGAATCACGCTCTCGAAGAAACATTTGGAGTAATGGAATGTAACCACCGCCCAAGAGAATTACTTGTCCAATCGTTTTGCCAACTCAGAAGAGAACACTGACGTACTAATGGGAAAAATTCATGTGAAATTCTTCTATCATAAATCTCGCCCTGGTGTGCGTCCACCTTTGCGAGAGAGTCTGCCTTCTCATTGCCTGGGATTGAGCAATGTGAGGAGACCCATACAAAGGTAATCATATATGATCTTTCGACCAGCAAACTCATCTGCTCCCTTACCTTTGAAAGGAAATAAGATGAGTGCCTACCTTGTTCCATCGACTGAATAGCCTCAATCGAACTGAGACTATCCGAGAAGATGAAGTAATGGTCTATGGACATGACGGAATTCATCCCCAATGCGAAGTTGATTGCTGCTAGCTCAGCAACATAAACGGAACAAGGTTCCTGAAGTTTTTGAGAGGCGGTTGAGTATTCATTGAAGACGCCCAAGCCAGTGGATCCATCAATGCGTGATCCATCAGTGAAAAATCTTCTATTGCAATTGACTTGTTGCGTGGAGTCAAATCACATTTTTATGATTCCCTTCGGGCTCGAGGTAGACAACCTAATGTTCCAGTTCGGGATATTTTGGCTAGACGCGATCTGGAGTTTATGAAACTCATATATGTTTACTTTAAGGATATTAACCTTAGATTGTAAGTTTGATTAACCTTGTGTTTAGTTTGTATTTTGTACGTGTGGGGTTTTTTTCAATGTTTGTTTTCAAGATGAATAGAAATAATTTCATACTTTAGGATTAATTAAATAGTTGTATCATAAACCACATTTCAAACCTCCTTCTTCCCTTTTCCCATCCAAAAAATTGTAAATCTCCACTAACCTCGAGACAACCGCGAGTATTCGGTCCAGTTCCTTTAACTTTAAATTTAAGGCAGTAATAATGTATAACGCAAAGGATAACTCGGCTCTGTAAAGTTTATTCGATTGAGCCTGTACAAATAAAGTAATTATAAAAAAAAATTGACTTGATGGTACTTTTCAGCAAAAATACGGGGAATTGAGATAGGTCGAAATTGATCTGGAACTCCTTGAATAGCCTGTTTCATGAAGAGATCATAGTCAACGGGGGAACTGTAAAGCTTTTTAATGAAACATATTCAAAAAATATTGAAGAGGAATATTTTTTGTCATTTAAGTTTTAAACACTTTCGTGGGTTTTCCCCAAATTACTTGAAATTTTCTACCGTGTATAGTTTTGTTTAAAAGAATCATTTTCATACCACTTTGTCTCAGACATCCTTTCGATTGGCAGAGACGTTTTCGAGTTTTGATTTGTTGAAAAATATCGAATACGCCACTTTGCAATTTTTACGAGTTTTAAAATGGCTGTAATAAAGCTCAATTGTTAATGATTGTCCACAACAAACAATTATGCTATGCTTCATGCAAATCAGAGAAGGTCGCGTCTGATCGATTCGCCATTTGGCGTGGAACTGCTCCCCTGTAAAATCCCTGCAACACAACGAGACATTCTAAATTTAGCGTTCCTTGAATTCAATAGAGAATAACCTTGCCTAACTTGACCACTTAGCAGCTCCAAATTGAACATAAATCTGCGTTATCCTAGCTGAATTTTCCGACCCACTCTTTTCACCCACTCAAGTTCGTTTGCCCGGTTGAAAGTGGTGGTGGCTGCAACCTTCTTGTACAGTAGGTATGCGGCACTAACAACGGCCACTGCATCCCTCTCACGACTTATGATTCTCGCTGACCCATAACTCACAGTTAATTTAACAGCTAGCGGGAAAATTGATATAAATTGCTTCAAACTCGATTTCTTTGTTCATCACCGGTCGTCCATCCGGGAAAATCGTCTAGCTTTGACTGGCTTCTCCTTCTCCGACTAACTGCGCACTTTCTCTCCAGGAGTAATGCCAAGCGGTCACTATAATTCACCTAATTGCGAGAAACAAAATGCGCGAAAGATAAACGAC